TGAAGAGACATGCTTCACAGCATTCATTTAGTGGCTGTCTTACCATCTACCCCACAACTGACAAAATCTCAGTGTTTACATGTGAAGAATAAGCAAATAATTCAAGACACTGTCCAAGTGGAGCTATGAAGAGACATGCTAGGAAAGGCAGTGTAGATCACTGATACTTTCTGATGGGCTGCATGTCAAGGATGCATGTCTGGAGAACAGTGATGTTAACTCTGCACTTCAGCAGTTTTACTTTACAGGGGGGCTGTTTTGAGTCACTTACAGGTAAAAGGCTCTGCAAACCACAACAGCAATGTTTAAAGATCTCAACCTTTATATCTAAAGCCTAATGGGCTTCTTTGCCTAGCTACCTATTAATGCTCACTTCCACCACTGCCCCACCTTCAACCATTTGTCGTTCAGGGCCGACTTAGATATCACCTCCCTCACGGGAAGTTTTCTGTGATCTGCGAGTCTGCATTAAGTGCTATCCTCTGTATTTCCAGGGTACCCCCGGATTACCTCCATTATAACAGTTGTCACACTATAGTCTAATTACCCAATTATCTATATTCACTAGGATGTCAGATCCTTGAGGACAGGGCCTATGGTATGTTCATCGCTGGATGCCTGGTATCTGGCTCGAGAGCTCAGTAAAACTTTTCTGAAGGGAAGGAAAAAAGGAGGGAGGAAAGGGGCCCAGTTTTTTGCTTCTCAATGCACATGCTCCCCTACCCAGCAAAGGAAACACCAACATTTCTGAGCCGTATCTACGCATGAGGTATTAAGCCTAAGTGTTCACTTTCATTTGTATTTCTCTGGGAACTGTCATCCTTTTTTTAACTTGAGGACAATAATTAGTTACAAATTTTTCTGCAGCTCTAGTTCTGGCTTCCTCTGTGTGGATGGTATGGAAGCTTTGCAAGTATCTACTACATTTCTTGTCCTGGGTCCTACTCTTAAGAGCAGTTAGTTTAAAAAGAAAATTATTCATTACTGGGTTTTACTGAAAACATAATATATGCACTAACGAGTACTGGATTTGATGAAGAGGATAAACAAAATAAGTAAAACAAAAATTCCCTAGTGTGCAAGAAACTTCTAAGAAATAGAATAAAAAAGACTAGAAAAGGAAAGATAACAAAAACCAAGAAATATAGGCAAAGTAAAAATAGTTACTGAACTTTACAGTATTATAGAAGAGCCAGAAAGAATGATTTTTTTTGTATCCCAGTAGAGCTATTTTCATTATTTTGTTTTTCACTTTGATTAAATTTGTCAAATGCCTCATGGTCGTCCTTTAGTTACTGTACATAATGTTTTGGTAGCTACCAAAATATATTCAATTATTTCTATTAGAATTGGAATTTCTCATTTCCTTTACTGTGGATCCAATTGTTATCTTCATTCAATCCAGATAATACCTGGTATTTAATATCTGGTGTTTAACAAGCAGGTAATACATGATGTTTAATTCTCCATAAGAAGAGGCTGCTTCAGAATTGAAATAAATTGCATATTTAACGGGATGGATAGTATCAACTTATTATGATAAAGTAAGTCCATTAAGAAGCCAGGTCCACACACATACTGCCATAGACTGAGTGTTTGTGTCCTCCTCCCCAAATACATATTTTGAAGCCCTAACACCTGCAGATGGTATTTAGAGATGGGGTTTTTGAGAGGTGTTTAGGGTTAGATGATCATGAGGGTGAGGCCCTCATAACGGGATTAGTGCACTTATAAGAAGAGACCACAGAGAGCTTTCCCTCTCTCTACCATGTGAAGACATAGTGAGATAGCAGCCATCTGCAGACAGGAAGAAAGCTCTCACCAGGACCTGAAGATGCTGGTGCCCTGATCTCAGACTTCCAGTCTCCACAATTGTGATAAAATATATTTCTGTTGTTTAAGCCACCGACTCTATGGTATTTTGTTATGGTAGCACAAGCAGTCTATGACATATATGCAACTTATATATTGTATGTGATGATAATAGGTCAAGTTCCTTTTTAACAGCCACATACTGGATACATACACAGATGTATTTGTGTGACTCTCCATAGCTATAGATATAATCACAAGCCACCTCAAGACCACAGTCACCTATCAATTTCTCTGCTGATTGGCAGGTATTTTCCATGTCTACTATTTCAGATGTCTTTTTGAGTCCTGCCTTGTTTTTGCAACTGCTCTAGGAAAGCATGAGCACAATAGCATCACAGATGCTTTATTGCAAGAGGCTCAACAATCTTATTTTTGTGAAAAATAATCTGATTTTTCCTACATACCTTGAAATTATTTTTTCCTGACACATTAACAAATTTGTGGAACAGAATAAAGATGATTTCTAAGCATACAGTCCCAAATCACTGTATGCCTCTGAATCACCCATGCCAATCTGTGAAATGATCTATATATCTACTGTTTGTCATTCTAAACCCTTGAGTTTCTAGGCCATCCACAGTTTGGTAATCTCAATGAATATTTGAAATTTTTTTTTTTCTTGGGACGCGTGGGTGGCTTAGTTGGTTAAGCATCAAACTTTGGCTCAGGTCATGATCTTACAGCTCGTGAGTTAGAGACCCATGTTTGTATCTGCATGGACAGCTCAGAGCCTGGAACCTGATTCAAATTCTATGTCTCCCTCTTTCTCTTCCCCTTCCCTACTTGTGTTTTCTTTCTTTCAAAAATAAGTGAACTTTAAAATTTAAAAAAAAGCTCTAAAATTTTTCTCTCTTGTACCAGAAATAATAATATATTTATCAAGGAGGTACAAAATAAAGAAATTGGGAATCAAAATCACATTTATTTTGCTATTAATTCATGCCATGTTTCTCATGATGTTTTACTGTAAGGAAACCTGAAGTAAGCCAAAACATTTAATTTTTAAATCTATCTTTAATACTTTTACTATCTAATGAAGTCTTGATTTAAACATTTGGATACATACTTTTTTATCTGATTTTTTTTCATTTAATTTAAACAAAATATTTTATCTCTGCTAATGTAACCAACTGTGAGGGTTTTTTTTGTTGTTGTTGTTTTGTTTTTTTTTTTTTTTTTTTTTTTTGGCCATTTAAGCCTTCTTTTTTACTCTAGTAATGCTTTGCTCTCATTAAAAAGTTATATATTCCCTATTTCCTAGGATGTTAGTATGTCCAGCTACTTGAAATGATACATTTGTCCAAATAAAAAAATAGAATGAAATAGAGATAAAATAAATAAAATAAAATGGATAAGAAAATAAATAAAATAAAAAAGAGAATATGGTTGAATTTTTATTTTCATGATATGCTTAAAATATATTGAAGGATCTTATTCTTCTATATGTTCTAATGAAATGTATATTAGAATATGCCAAGTTGAAATTTTCCATGGTTACTGAAATTTACTTAAAGAGGGGGAGGGTGAAGGGCTGTTGCTGGACTTAGAAAAGTGAATAGCAACACCCTAGATCATTTGAAAAAAAATGTTTATAGGAAATCTTTGAAATGTCGTATAAAACTAACAAAGATTTTGTACAAATATTTAAGCATAAATTCCTGCCTGGAAATTTTTACAACTCTATTCAATATGACAGAGAAAAATTATGTAAACATGACCTGGGAGGAAAAAAACTACATCGTGACCATTTATCTATACTATTGTCTCCCTCTTCAAACTACAAACATATCTTTTAAAAATTTAAGTCATGTCCTTTGCCCTATTCAAAAGTGTCAAGATTTACCTGTTAAAGACTTTGTGTTCAAAGCTCCCTTTACTCACTGTTGAAACCTCTTTAGAATATGTAGATATTATTTATATGGTATGTATACATGTATGTTTATATAATGTATGGTCATATGTCTTCTCTCTCCCTAAATAAATTATTTGTCTGTGGCGTCTAGGAAAACGCATTCATTCACAACCACTCACTAAATGTCTATGCATGCCAGTCATTGTGCTAAGAGTTACAGTGAATAAGACAGAAGCTGCTCACTGTCTGATAGACATTACTTCTTCCTCTTGTAAAATTCACCATAACATAATAGAGGATATTGTTGATAGTCAAGAGTCAATTCAGTTGATTAAGCTGCCAAGAAACATTAGATTAAGACCTTGATGGGCTCTTATGCAGTAAGGGAACACAAGGTTTCAGAAGCCTGTGAAAAGAGGCGTCTGTAGTCCCACCACGCTATGTCCTCTCACATGTCCCTTTCATTATCCCAGTCTCAACCTCACATGGCTCTGGGACCTCATCTTCAGTGCTAGGGTTTCAAGGATTATGTGTACTTGGAGGGCACATCAGATTTTCTGGCAAGACAGGTCTTCAGTTTTGGCGCTGTCCCAGCACAGCATTTTTCAAGAGTAGAGTCAACTTGGAAAAAGTGTCTATGTCAGGCCATCTTCTTAAAATAATTTATCTTATTCTTAACAAATCTCCAGTTAATTAAAAGGAGAAGAAACCAACAACAACCTTTTTCTTAGCTTCTCTCAGTGACCAAGTCTTTAAGTGCCAATGATAAAGTAGGGGAGCTTAATAAATATAAAAAAGTAGCAAAATATTATTGTACCAAACATTCCCTTCAGCCCAAAATGTTATTTCCAAATTGGTTGCTCTATAAACATTAATTGATGGTGGTGTTTTCTGGAAAACTTTTATCAAAAATTTGGGAATCCATCCAATAGCCAACAGACTGGGCTTTTTCTTTTTCTTTTCCTTTTTCCTCCCCCCCTCCCCCCGCCCCCCGCCTTCCATCTAGATTCTTGTATTCAGAATTAGGTCTTAAAACTCTTTGGGGGAAGGAAAAACATGTTTTGGAATATTCCAATCCCTTTACTTTTAGAACTGTCATTGAGGGTGCTAAAGATGAATTGGAGTGCTATTTAGCAATCTGTGAAGTTTCAACATCTTTGCAGAACCAAGTAGGAATCTTGGAAAAATATATTTTTCACAGATTTAGCTGTCAGTTTAGATGTTCTTACCTTCCTTTTTATGTTCTGATGCTTGAAAAAAGATTAGGAAAAACTTAAATTATATGAACAACACTTTATTTTCATGGAATTCTAGTATCAGAGGGCTTTAACATATTTTCAAGACATTCTAGATTAATTCTTCTAACATGCTCAAATATAAAATAGGCTATATGTGTCATTGTTGCCCCCTTTTTGCAAAATGGAAGATTGAAGAATATAATCCAGGCTTCACATTTCTTCCAGTAGATAGCTCTGCCACTGGAAAGGGAAAAAAGCTAAATATTAGACAAGCAAGAGCTGGTCTCCACCCTGACATATTTTTAATTTAAATGTGTATCTTTCTAACAAGTTATTCATGTAGGACATATTTAAGTACCCAAAAAATCCTTGTGGCTCCTAAAGTCAGATTTAAAAAACTCTCATTTGATGTGTATTCTATTTATTTTATTTTTTAAGATTTTATTTTTAATCTCTACACTCAACATGGGGCTCGAATCCACAACCCCAGGATCAAGAGTCACATGCTCCACCAACTGAGCCAGCCAGGCACCCCTGCAAGTGTATTCTACTTAGAAGATAGACTTGTCTTGTCAGTCTCATACTTTTTTCTTACTGTGAATAGTTTCTACAGCCAAGTAATGATGTGAGTGTTGTAGTAGGACACATATCTGATCTCTTTCACAGATTTAAGGTTTACAATAATTAGAGGTGTACATTAAGTCTCCATTAATTATAAATATGTGTCTGGGTCTAATTTATCTTTTTTTTATGTAGACATCAAACATTCATAGCATGTAAATTGATTCATTTTCATAATAATATATTCAAACCCCAAAAAACCTTCGTTTCCCAAAAATGAGCTGAAGCTATTAGAGGCTAAAATGATTAGTAACACCACTATTACATAGTGTATACTTAATTGTCAATTTTGAAGTACTTACCTTCTAAAGAGGTGTTGGCATTCATTTAGTCACTCATTCATGTGTTATATCTCACCTCCTCCCCAAAGCCACCTGGAATGTTCTCTCTGATCTCAAAGAAGTAATTCTGTTTGCCTTGTTCCAAAGTAAATCTGTAGCTATTCTACCTGGTCTTGATGCTGCTTCATGCCACATGGGGAAGCAGGAGGCAGAGTGAAGGACAGTGAGCTACTTCTTTGCACAGGGAAAGAGCATTGGACTGGGAGCCAGAACACTCATTCATATCTGGACTCATTCTCTTTGATCTGGAGAAAGTCACTTAGCTCCACTTTTCCTCATTTTAAAACCAGAGGTGATAATACCTTCCTAATCTATATCATATCATGAAAATTTAAGTTTAGTATGTTTATGGAGAGTTGAGGATATGACTGAATATTTAGAAAATTTCTGAAATTTAGTGTGACTCTGTGAAAAAATCAAAACTATACAACCTATTACCATATTATTTTTTAAGATTTTATTTTAAAGTAATCTCTACACCCAATGTGGGGCTCAAACTCACAACCCTGAGATCAAGAGTCACGTGCTGTAGGGACTAAGCCAGGCGGGCACCCCATTGTATCATCATATTATTTTTAACAATCTAAAATTCCATGAATATCAAATGAGATCATGTTTATGAAAGGACTCTTAAAATGGCAAAGCTCTATTCTTATAAATAATATTAATATTAATATTTCTATCCCTTTGATCTCATCTTCCTAGCCAATTACCTTAAACAAACCAAGCTATATTCATCACTGGGGCTGGCTTTGTGCATTAGAGCAATCCTAATTAAGGTAGATGCTAAGGATATATACGTGGCTAAGACCTGGTTCTTGAGTTTAAAACATTTACACTCAGCTTAAAAGAGTTGTGCTTGGTACTAAGCAAGTACTCAATTTACATTAGCTGAATGAGATAGTACTAGGGCATACTTAAAGATCAGAATCACCTGACTGCCTAAAAGCAATGAAGAGAGGCTATAGCCGAATTTGGAGGAGGGCTAGGGAGAAGGTATAGAGTGGAGGTGGAGAATAACCATACTGGTTTGGTTGCATTCCAGTTTGCCTGTTTACTTTCAATGATATTTAGACTTTAAAGGCTATGGATAAAGGTATTTTGAACCTGAGAGCTGTGCACTTAGGACACATTGTCATTGACTCCTAAGATGTAACAATGTTTTCTATTACATTTTTAAAATACGCTTGACTTCCCAACATAGAACCTTTATTCTCACATTATTCATTAAACGACTAGTAGTTAATGTAACAGTTTAAAAAAGATTTTAAACCCAGTCATAGAAGCCAACATATTAAATTATCCTTCATCTATTGATAATGGAAATTTATTCTAAAAATTATTTGGACTTCTGACAATTAGAGATCTCCATTGACTCTGTGTCCCCCCTTTTTCCTGAATTTCAATTGCCAATCTATGAGAAGAACCCATTTAACCTGTGTTCTGAGCAGTGGCATCTAACTGTAAGTTTGATGCTTATTCAGAAAAGATTTTGTATTCTATCCCAAAATATTATATAGACATTAAGAGTATGCACATATGTATGAAAAACATTTTTTTCTCAGAATACAACTATCAGCCCAAATAAAAAGTTAAAAATTTTATAAGCCAAGATAACCATAGCTAATAGTTAATAGGAACAGCAGAGAAATAAATCAATCTTCACACTTGTATGAGGAGAAAAAAGGCTCGAAACAGATATATTTTCAACCCATCCCTTCATAAAATAATGTTCGAGAAAAACAGCCTATAGCCCATAGCTCATCCCTCCTTGTGCAATCAGACACTCCATTGTCTTCAGAGGGAGACCTGCTGCCTCACAGGCCTGGCCCCTCTTATGGGTGAATAGCTTCTGAAGAAGCATTGTGACATCTGGATGTGGAGTTCTTTGAGGCTGCAGTTCTGGGGAGAACCATCATTTTGTTACAGAGCAAGAGTTCTATCTGAATTTCCTGGGAATCGGTCATCACAGGAAATTATCAGCAATTCATGGACTTTCCTTTTTGCGTTTGCTTCGGCCTCGAGGGTAATCACAAAAGATTATAGTCTCCATTTCAGCTTTCATATCACTGAAATATTCTTCTCTGCCGAGAGCATGATTGATTTCCAGAGGCCAGCTTTTAACCCCGAGCTTCAGGAGGCCGGTTGCACTGCAGTGGTTTGATAACTGCCAACAATTGTTCTTGTGATACTGTTCTGTTGTGAAGCAGAAATTTGGTGATTCCTGGATAATTACACAAACCCTTTTAAATCATGTGATATATCCACTTCTTGTGTTGTTAGGTATAGGTATTTGTTCCATTTGAGTAAAGATGTTAAAGGCTGGTGGAGACAAAAGGGTGAATAAAAATTTCAGGCGAGTGTTATGAAGGCTTTGATGTGCCAAGCATCCTGATTGGCTGATTTTCAGAATGGAAAACAAAATAATTTAAAAATAGTTCTGAGAATCTTCATAAGGAGTAGATAGATTATAAACACAAATGGTTTTGGCTCCATAATGTGAAAACTTTTCATGAATGTTACTGAGGGATTCTGTATTTCACGACAACTTGTTATGTGGTGCATGTAGGTTTTTATCCATGGCTTGACTAGGAAATGTTGATGCAATATCCACGGCCAAAATATAAGCAAACTAGACACATTTTTACATGGTGATTTCATTTTTTGTATTCATTTTTCTCTTATATATGTTGCTTTATTCAGAATATATAGAGGCAGAAAAGGCTTTGTGTATATTTGAAACAAATCTAGTGGATAAGATAGCTTTGCCTAGAAGTGACTACATTTCCTTCCAAATTCAGAAGAAAAGGAAGACAGTTCAGTTCAGACTACTTTTAGTTTGAACTGTAGCTTCCTTGCAATACCTAAAAATGATTATAAATCAAATGGATAAATGTCAAATGTCAAGCTGTACCATTAACAGAGCATTATTCAATGAAGCAATTATCATCACAGAGAACAGAGTAGGGCACAATATGGAAGCTCTTTATTTTACTTACAAGTGTGGTATATTTTGTATAGTATAAATGCAGGGTTGGACCCCAAACCTTTTTTTGCTGAGAAGAGTTAATATGTATACACATCCATACAAAAAGGCAATAGCAAGATGAATATATGACATAAAATATTTTTGATGTCACCTGTCCAGAAAACCACTCCGGGACCACTTTCCTAATAAAAGCCCTAAAATGTTAAGTGTTATAAGATAAGCTTGCAAGGAAGAGGACCAGTAGAATCCACCTTGATGTAATCATGGAAATCTTGGATGGGAATCAGGAAACAAGAACAGATAAAATATAGGATGCTCAGTTGAAGTAAAATTTCAGCTAGACAACAAATTATTTTTAGTATAAGAATATCCTATGCAATGTTTGGCAATACATATATTCTTAAAAAAATTATTTGTTGGTTTTTTTTTAATGTTTTATTTACCTTTGAAAGGCAGGGAAGGGCAGGCAGAGAGCTGGACAGAGGATCTGACACAGGCTCTGTGCTGACAGCAGTGAGCTTGATGTGGGACTTGATCTCACAAATCGTGAGATGATGAACTGAGCCAAAGTTGGACTCAACAGACTGAGCCACCCAGGCACCCCCAAAAAACGATTTGTTGTTTATCTGAAAGTCAACTTTGAGCACCTTATAATTTTATTTGCAAATCTGGCAATTGTAGCACGAGATCTGGGTTCTGGTCTTGGCTGAAGAGGTTCAAGCAACTCACTAAAATTCTCCAAATCTTTTCTTATTTTCATGTGAGAAAGCTGGACTAAAGTCAGGCTGATGGGTGTGGGGCCTGGCCTACCGGTTTTACCCAGCACGGTTTTCAGTGTTTATTGTATTGAATTTCCAGTTAGGATTCTACTTTGGGAGGCGGGTGTTCTGGGGCTCAAACTAAAACAAATTAAAAAACAATTTGAAAATGTAGATGATCTCTGACATTTTACCACTGTGTAAGGAGAGTATGGCAGGGAGAGTAAGAGCCCGAGATGCCCAGGATTGGAGCATTGCAGCTTGTTACCTTGCATGGAGCCTTGTCAGTCTTCAACTGTCAGGTTTCTTCCTGGCGCAAGGGTTAGAAACGTGTTGTCCTACATTTGGGGAAAAAACATTCCATTTCCACTTTGCTTTGCAGAATGAAGAATACATCCCAACACGCCTGGGTTTCTGATTTTGACTTCTTCCTGCCAAGTGGGGTTTTCTTTTCATCTTCTACCTTTTTAATTTGTGTCACAGACCTGTTTTGCCTCAGCATTGGGATATATCTGATTAGTTACTGAACAGCTTTTCAAACTTAGCTTTGACAGAATGGTTTTGAGAGGATGTCAGTTAATGTATTTGGCTGCTTGGGAAGCGTATTGATTTTTAAATCAAAAAAGCTCATCACTTCCCTAGTCTCTTAGAAAGCCTTTGTAACATTTTTTTAGCCTCTTTACCAGAACACGGGCAAACATATTCTTACTTACTTATACATGGAGACTTACACTGCTAACTTTTAAAGCTACATTTGTAAGTATCAGCAAGTAGTCTTTAGTTACTTGTATGGCATTTTTTTTTCTCCTAAGGTATGAAGAATTTTATTTTTTGAAAAGATATTTCTCAGATTTACTTTTGGCACTCAATTTTATGTTATAGCAGTTTAATCTGGAAGACGAAGTTTTGGAGGATATTTTCAAGTCACTTTTTTAAAAACAAGTGGAAAGGTCAAAAACAAAGTGCCTATCTTCTATCTCAGATATATTAGCCTATCCTTCCAAACTTCAGGATGGGATGTCTTTTTCCAATGTACTGTAGAATAATCGCTTCTCACGATCTGTCTTCAAATGAATCTCTTTTTGAGTATTTTGCACATCTATTGAAAAGCTATTCTTCAGTCCATAATCCCAAAATATTCTATTTCTTTTTTTTTTATTTTTAAAATGTTTTAATTTATTTTTGACGGAGAGAGAAAGAGACAGAGACAGAGCATGAGTGGGGGAGGGGCAGAGAGAGACACAGAATCTGAAGCAGGCTCCGAGCTCTCAGCACAGAGCCCAAAGCGGGGCTTGAACTCACAAACCACAAGATCATGACCTGAGCTGAAGTCAAAAGCTTAACTGACTGAGCCACCCAGGTGCCCCTCTATTTCCTTTTTTATTTTGCCGTGAGAAGAGACAACACTAAATGACACAGGAAGCAACTGATTGATTTAGTTTAGATTCTCTTGGTGAATCCAGTTCCTGTTCCCATCACTCTGAATCATGTACTATAACTTTGTTAGTTTTGGGGGGGGGGCAGGCAGGTAACATAGTTTATTATCAACTTTGCATATCTTAGGCTTTTTTTTTTAATTAATTTGTTTTGAGAGAGAGAGAGGAGGTTAGGGAGGGGCAGAGTGAGAGGAAGAGAGAGAATCCCAAGCAGGCTCAACACCCTCAGTGCAGAACCCAGTGTGGGGCTTGAACCCACAAAACGTGAGATCATGACCTGAGCCAAAATCAAGAGTTAGATGCTTGGGCGCCTGGGAGGCCCAGTTGGTTGAGCATCCGACTTCAGCTTGGGTCTTGATTTCACAGTTCATGAGTTTGAGCCCCGCCCGCATTGCACTCACTGCTGTCAGCAAAGGAACCCACTTTAGATCCTCTGTTCCCCTCTCTCACTGCCCCTCCCCAACTTAAGCTCACTGTCTCTCAAAAATAAATAAACTTAAAAAAAAAAAGAGTTGGATGCTTTACCGAATGAGCCACCCAAGTGCCCCAAGCTGTTTCTGGAATTTGAATATTTATTGAGTTGCTATTGAGAAATAGAGATACTTTGAAGGTAGTAACTTTTTCACAGAAAAAAATATTAATAGCATTTATCATTTTCTTCTTTGTTATTAAAATTCATAGTAGAGCTAAATTCTTATTAATTTCCTAAAAGATTCCAGGTAGTTTTCATTTTTCTTAAAAAATTTCTAAATTTTCTTACATTCTGTCATAAGGGCATCTAACAATTTTGTAAGAATTTTTTTATTTTATCTTTGACAGGCATTACAGATCTTTCATATCTGTATGCACCTACTGGCCAAAAAATATTTTAGTTACAGGAACATCAACTCTTAAAGATAATACAAAAAACTTTCAAGAACTTTCTTCACATCCTGATGGAAAAACACCTCTGCTAATGGTTTCCAGTCACATCGAAACATTTGCTTATTTAAGAATGGAAACAAACAAAGAAAAGCGCTGGGTTTTCTTAGGAGATGTAATTGAGCTCATTACCTTAATGCTTTTTCCCTGCATTGAAAAGGAGCAGTTACTATTGGAGTTGAGGGTGGTCTGGGCATTACATTAACCAATTAGACATTTCCAAATGCATTGTTTAACCTGAATATGGGTAATGTGCAATAGAATGTTTTAGTTTACTTATCTATTGTTTGAATAGGAACATCAACACCCAAAACGTTGCATATGTGTGTCCATGCAAGGAGGTCTGAGAGAACCTTCAGTTAAGTCTCATACCCATTGCAGACATAAATTGAAAGTCTTATTTGTTAAACTGAACTTTTTGAAATGCTCTTTGATGTGGCTTCTTAAATTACTCAGCGGCATAACTACAGCTTTGCTGCATCACCCTTAATCCCTGGCAGCATGGAAAATCACCAGGCATGTGGAGCCGCCAGGAAAATGGAACATTTTACATTTGTACTGACCACATTGGTTTCATACAAGGATGTACTGTCAAAATTAGACGTGCGGCTTCCGTAGGGCACCCAGGTCTAAGCTTGCAGCATCTCCCACTAACAAAATAACTACTGTCTAAAAAAGAACTTAAAATGTATTCCTTCTACTCAGAATAATTTTAAAATTATCTGTCAAAGGTATTAAACTGGTTTTCCACTAAAGAGAGGGAAGTGGTGAAATCACCCATTCATTTGCTTTTAGTTTTTGCTTTTACCATTTAGTAACTCCTTAAAGTTCTAAGAGTGTTAAAATGAAAAATATTTTGTATTATTTTAGAGAGGGAGCACATGTGCACAAATGGGGGAAAGAGGCAGAGGGAGAGAGAGAGAGAGAGAGAGAGTATCTTAAGCAGGCTCCACTCTCAGCATGGAGCTGAACTCAGGGCTCAACCCCATGACCCTGGTATCATGACCTGAACCAAAATCAAGAGTTAGTTGCAAACTGACCGAGCCACCTGGGCTCCTCAAAAAAACATTTTCTTGTAATATCTTCATAACTGTTAGATCGTGGACCAAATATGTACTTACCTAAAAAACACAAGAAGTAACATACTCATTTTGCTATTTGCTAAGTACCAGGCCAACTGCACTGCACAGAAACCCACTAGGAAGGTTTCCAGGTGAGAGGCCTCTAGCACTTAGCCCTCATCTTTAGAGAGCTTCCAAAATGCAGATCACTGTAGTTTCCCTTTCCCTTGGGAAATGATGATGAGCGTAGTGGCTCTGACAACCAGCTGTTATCTTGGTACTTGGTAGTTAAAGGACATCCTCTGCAGAAATCTTACAGACCACTTTGAAAGCTGAAGAACATGCCCCTTACTTTTACCAGGTGTATGATTCTGAATTCTGTATCAACTTCCCTAAATCATGGAGTAATGTCATAATTTTTACATATTTGGTATGGATTTATATGTAAAAGTATCAATCATAGTTGTATCAAGACAACCAAAATGTTTTTAGGAATTATCTGTGGTATAATATTGTGGGGTTTTTTTTCCCATTCCCCTATCTGATTTTTTTAAGGTACTTGAAACACTCTGATAATACCTTACTTATCACTTTAGATATATGGGTCTGTTCACCTACAACATTGTATTTTTGAAGCCTTGCCTTCATTGTTTGTCCAATTCCTAAAGCAGTGCATGATAGCCAAATAATCAACCTTTGTTAAATCAATGAATTTTCAAGAAAAGATAGTGTTTGTGCAAATTGCAAACCATGCATTTATAAAAGTATGATGTGTTAGAAAAGGAGCAAAAAGTCCCAAGGACTGTCTAGGTTGATATGAAACACTTAAGCTCTAAAAATGTTGCCCCTTTTACTATCAGAGTGATCTTGAATTTTATTTAGGAAGAAATCTTGAAATTTATTAAGGCAGAAACACAAATCTCTTAGCACTCTACATTTGTTTTTATTCATCCAAAAATAAAACTAAGTTGGAATTTCTCCAAAACGCTCCTGGAAAATGCAGTTTAATTTTTCTTTCCAAATAGATCTTCAAAATAGATCACAGGGTACTTTTGCTTACTCAGTCATCCTTACTGTCACTGAAATATACAATCTTGCTTGATGAATCCCAGAGCTTTTCAAAGAGGGTCTGACAATATGGAATTTCAATGAAAGATGTCAAGCTTTCTAAATTAATTTAAACAAAAAAGGGGAGGTGGATGAAATTCTAATCTGTGCTCTACTCTGATTGGTTGCTTCAAATCTCTGGGCCGACTCCACTCATATTTTCTATACAGAATAATACTGGCCACCATTAGGGAGACCCTAGAAAGGGATCCTGGGATTCCATTTCATTTCTGCACAGTCACGTACCTCAAAATACTTAGCAGTCTACAATATTTGATAAAGAAGTAGTAATAGCCGTAGTAGGAATAGCTTTATTGAGACTAAGGCTAAGATATAATGTGGCCCATAATTTTCTTAGGTGTGTGTTGTGTTACTTTAGACTTTATACCAGTTCTGAATGACTGCTTAACTTTCCAGTAGAGGAATGGTATCCCATTGTAGTGGGGACACAATGGATTTGGTTTGCAAGGCACAGCCAATGTGTGGTTTCAGCAAAAAGCTGGGGATATGTGGGGGAAGCACCTTTCCAGACATACCACTCCTGGTTGAATCAACAGTCTGTGGAGAGAGTGGCACGCCATTTGTCTTCCTTTCAGTGACAATGATGGCATCCACGTGGACCCCTCTCAGGGTGCTCTGGGTAGGAGAAGCAGTGTCAGTATGGCAAGTCTCTGCACTTACACATTCCAGATGCAAAAATGCAGGTCTCATGGTAGCGTGCAATTCCAGTGCAATGTTCCACGTGGTTTACTTTTATTGAGCTTTCTGATTTGAAATCCCAAACAGTACAAAGCTGCGGTGGTTGTGCGAATG